AGTTAGATCTCAGCTAGATTGTGATGAGTATGAGCCCAGAGGAGAGGGGACATGCTGTCCTGTCTGTAAGGCCAGGGAACCAGTGGAACAGTACAGGACATGTCATGTACATGTAGCCTATAGCTAAGCAAAGTACGTACAGTCATGTACATGTAGCCTATAGCTAAGCAAAGTTAGAACTCAGAGCTTGACTGTGATGAGTATGAGCCCATGGGAGAGGGGACATGCTGTCCTGTGTGTAAGGCCAGGGAACCTGTGGAACAGTACAGGACATGTGAGACTGAAGGACTCACTTATCAAGTACGTAGGGGATTGTAGCCTCCATAACATAGGCTTCATGTCTTGGTGCCTGTCACAAACTAAGTATATTAAACGTAACAGAAAATAAATCAGGCAAATGGATAGAAATATTCTTTGAGAAGATGTACTAGACATTTCAGATAACATCATAGATTTCAATGTTACTGAGAGTTATGGTCAAAAGTCCTAACATACAGAGCTACAGTTTCAACTACAGTTTCAACTAGTTTACTACAAGCTGCATCAAACTAAATCTAAGCAAAGCTAGATATCAGCAGACTAATATTTACTTAGTAAACATTCTCACTGCTCCTTGTTTTCCAGCATGGTGAATCGTTCCTGGATGATGCCTGTACCATGTGTACCTGCACCAACGGCACAGTGTACTGTCAGATAGAGGTCTGCGACAGGAGCGCAACATGTCCTGAGGTGAGGTTAATATTAGTAATCCCGTTTATAGTTTATAGTGTCGTAGAGGGGAACTCGTTGCCACCAAGCACATGCAGTTGGGGCATCACTAGAAAGCTTTAAACAACTCCTGCAATTAAATGTGCAAAGATTGAGTGTAACAAGTTGTTTGGTGTGATATCGCTAGCTGAAGGGTGGTTATACCAGCTACACTGATACAGATTCCATGATGTATAAAAGTCAAAACACTTACTAATAGTCTATGTTGTAATCATCTCTAGATACAAAAGACAGTTTTGCAGTTATTTTACTGTAGCAACCCCTTAATATATTCTTAACTTGTAGCTTGTAACTAATAGCCAGCATATTTATATACAGAAATTACATCTGAGAACAAGAATGATAGAAATTGCATTTAATGGAATTCTTATTGATCATTGTTTATGTAATGATAACTCAACAAATCATTCAGTCTCTCATAGTCACAATATGAATGTTCCTTCTCTTTCTAACTTTTATTCAAACTCTTTCCAGGGCCAAAGTTTCAAGAAGTTTGAAGGAGAATGCTGTCCAAGGTGTATAGAAAGTAAGATAATTATTTATTTGTGAATTTTTCAATGTGGTAAAATTGTAACTATTGTTGCTTAATTTCAAAATGATTATACTATGTTGTCATTTCATATTTCAAAGGTTTATATTTCATGTATACCGGTAATGGACATACCCACTGTCAAAGAGTCAGTGATATTGTTGTAGAGGTACAACACCAAAGAGAATAATAATAAAATTTTTTTTTTAATTTTTTTTTTTAGCTCCTGGTGTGTGCACAGTGTTTGGAGATCCACACTACCGAAGTTTTGACGGGAAACTTTTCAACTTCCAAGGAACCTGCAAGTACATCCTGTCCCAGGACTGTAAGGGTGAGGTCTACAGTGTCATAGTCAACAACGATGCCAGGAAAACAAGGTGAATTTGAACTTCATTTAAGTCATTTTGTAGTCAGAAGTAAAGTTGATCTTAATCATTGAGATACATGTATATGAAAAAACAACTCAGTTCCTAACATTAGGCATTTCTATTTACTGAAGAACAACACCTTTTTTGGTCATTCAAGTTTATTTGATTGACTTTATATTTTTGTGTATACTCAGTAATTATACTACTAATAGTGTTATTTGTAGGTGATGGCCTCCAGAAAGAATAGTGTGATTTACACTGATGGATATCTTTAATAAAACATTTAACTTACAAAAGGCAAATGTAGCAACAACAAGTAGTTACAATGCTTCATGTAAGCCAGAAATGAAAACAATCCCTTACTTGCATACAGGTCATTTGCATGGACCAGAAGAGTCCATTTTAAGATCAAAGGGGTGGACGTGATACTCGGGCAGCACTTGGCAGTGAGGGTGAACGGGAAGGACGTCAGCTTACCTCATTCCCAGCCTGATGTTCTCACTGTTCTGCTTGCTGGGTACTTGGTGAAGGTCATCACAGAAATAGGTATGTTTCCACTGCATGTTAAAGGTTGGAAGTAAATTGCAAGTTACAATTTTACTGTACATCAAGGGATTGATGTATTTTTTTTGTCTCTCTCTTTTTCCCTTTCCTTTTCACTGCCTCCTCTTGCTTGCTTGTGAGGCACCAATACAGTGGCTAGACATTGTGTCCTTAGAATTCCCTCACTCCAACCAGGTGTAAAATGTGTTTGCTTGGGGTGGTAAAGGGTAGAAAAGGAGAGGGATGTAAATCAGATGATGGTGATGACTGATGGTGAGTTTAGCACCAAGGAGAGGTCCATGCCTATGGTTTCAGGGCACCAGTTTGTACAATGTTGATAAGACATCTGACATCATCTCTCCCTCCCTCCCTCCCTGTCGCCCTCTATCTATCTTTCCCTCCCTCCTCCCCCCCTCCTCTCTCTCTCTTCCTCTCTCTCGTGTGTACATGCATGTTTTTGTGTTACTTCAATACAGAGGAGTTACAAGGATACTAACAGATGGTGCTGAGGCTTTTGAGGGAAAAATTTCCAATTGTTTAAAAGTTATTACAATGTTGATAAGACATCTAACACTGACTGTTGTATGACATATTTCCATGTTCCCTTTAGGTATAGAGCTGACCTGGGACGGGGACAGTTTTCTGGAGGTCAGCGTACCCAGAATGTACCGAGGGAAGCTCTGCGGGCTCTGTGGCAACTTCAACGGACATGGCAGGGACGACTTCATCGGAAGGTGACATGCTCTCTTCTTGTGTGCATATTTTTGTCATAGTTGCTTAGATTTTACAAGGAAAAAATCTAAGTTTGGTACTAAACTATTGTGAAAATATGTGTAGTTATTAGACCTTTGAAATCGAATCACATTTTACAAGCTGTTTCCTTACAATGTATGTTAAAAAACTAATCATCCACAGAAGGTTGCTGTCCTTGGTGCTGAATGCTATCCACATACATTGTACTAGCTGCTGGTACAGGTTTACCTCTGTAGAAGTAGAAGTAGTGTTAGATGGTATTTTGGGACTTCTTCCTAAAAAACATTCTTTGATACATTTAGTATTTGTGCACAGTAAGGGTTACCTCCTAGAACCTCATCATTCTTGAGAAAGACTGAATAAAGTCAAACCGGTCGAATTCCGTCTCATCGTTGTCATTCTCCCAGCACT